TGGCTTCTGCTCAGAATTGAACCAGTGTCTGTTCTAGTGTGCAAAGCAAAACTCAGCCAAAACAAAGAGCAGCCTGAAGGAGGTGGGGAGTGGGGAATTTTCCAAGTGTTCACACTCCAGACCTGCAAACAAGAAGGCTTGGTAAAACCTCAGTTTTATGTAAAACCTAAGTTTATGGTGGCATAGCTGGTTGTAGGGCCCAGGGGTGGAAGAGAGTGAAGCATAGGGAGCGGGAGGGTGCGAGAGCCTCAGTCTGAGAAAGGCGATTAGGTAGTAGGTGACTGAGACAGTACTACACCTATTTTAAGGCTACACCTCCCATACAGTCACGTGATGTAGAGGAAAGGCGCCGTTTGCAGCGCCCAGATCCCTAGAGGGAAATGTTACTGCTCGCACCCTCCAACCATACCACTATTAAGTTGATGAACCCAAGCAGCAAAAACCTGGTTTATACACCTGCACTGTCACTCTCTGGTGGGTGGGCAAGGGTCCACTTAACTCTGGGCTTTTATTGGTCAGGCCAAGAAAAACGCGAGTGTGGTAACAAGCAGCCTCCTTCGGATTGGTCAATTTCTGCTAGGTCTCAAGTCAATCAGACTAGACTGTATGCACTCCCCATTCTCTCTCGGGGTAGACATGTTAGGTAGCGGGATGCAACCTTGCTAGTGTTCTGAGGCCGCCACACAATAACATGCCCTTCTTTCGTCTGCCGCTGCCGCCTCCTCCTAACATGTTATTTCAACGAATGCAATGTGCTCTTTTCCCCCTACAAAACGAGTTGTTTCATTATATGAGAGGTCTGCGTTTAAGCAGCACTAAGCTGGGGAAGCGGTGCCCGGTTCCGCCTGCCAACCTTCTAAACCAGCGAATACTCAACACTGACTCCCAGTGTCTAGAAGCCTGTCTCAGATCATCCGCAGCGTGAGCGGATTTTGAGTGACTTTTGGCCCTCGCGGCCCCTGTAGCGTCCCTAGTTACTGGGCTCTTAGTACCCGCCCGCCCCAAGAAAGGAGCCGCCGGGTAGATTAAGGCCGCGCGAGCTTCCCCGCCCTGGGCCAGCGCGGGCGCTCAGGCCTCCGCGGCGCGGTGATGGCCGCCTCGCACCGAGCGGCGAAGCTGGCGGCCTCCTGTCTCCAAATCCCGATAAATCCCAGCACTGGAGTGCGGGTCGCCCAGTGCGAACGCGAAGACCCATTGGAGGCTCTGGCGGCTGCGGCAGCGACAGCGGCCTTGGAAGAAGAGGAGGAGGAGGAGCCGGAAGAGGAAGAGGAGCGGGGGGCGCTGTGGTCCGCGCGGGCGCGGGTAATGCGGGGGCGGGACGTGGGCTGTGGCTGGGCGTCGCCGGGGCGCCCCCGGGGCTGGTGCGCGTTCCTGCCGGGCGGAGGACCCTGCTTGACTACGCGGCGCCTTGTCCCGATCATTCGCGCCTGGTAATCGGGCGCACCACCTTCTCTCTGCCCTCACGAAAAATACTCAAAACGTAGGCGTTGAAGTATTTTATTTTCACCAAAGAAATTTCTTGGAGGGCATTTACTTCATTTCTAGAGAGTGCAAATTACAGACCTTACTGCTTTTGCCCTAGCATCTGTTGGAAATACTTTTCTTTTTTCCCTGGGGAAAACGGATCCACCTTATCGTGGATAAGCGATAAAACTCAGGTGAATCAGCTGTGCAGCCGGTGTGTTTAGTTGTCACCTTAGGGTTATTTTGATGCCCTAAGTGCATCTTAGTACATATGAGGTGGTGTTTAAAACAATGAAAAGGGTCGTTGGTAGATCATACACAGGTATAGTTAGGCATCTTTGAGAGGCAAATCACTAAAGTTCCAGTGTTTCCTAAACGGCTGTTCAAGGTAGGGTGAGACAGCATTTTCACTTATTTTCAGTGTCAGATGTGTTTTACCCACCCACCAGGTAGAGGTGGAGTCTGCCATCTGCTGTATTCTAAAAATGAGAACTTTGAACTAATACCCTGCAGATACAAACCTCATTACCCCTACTTAAAGATTCTTAATACCAAATGTCCAAACCTTCTCAGATTCGAAGTATTATGATCTAGGGTTAATAGAAATCACTGGATAGTTTGAAACCTTAATCTCTTTAATCTGCACTAAACCTGTTAATGAGAAAATCTGTAGCAACACCTTTTATGGAAAATACTAGAGGTTAGCCAGAGTAAAGCAGATTGAGAACCTGTACATGAACCAGGGTCAGAGTCCTAGGAATAGTTTCATTCCTGATAAAGCTTTCCTGCAACACAAGTTTCAGTAGCCCACAAAGGAGGCAAAGTGATGGAGGAAAAAGATTTGAATGAAGGAAAAGGATTTGAATCCAGATGAGGATACATTCTCTGCCATTTGCTAGATGATATTAAAATGTAACTTCCTTTAATCGCAGTTTCTTTATCTGTAAAAGAGCTGTAATAACTGTCTCTTTTTCTTGTCTCACTGGGATGTTTTGAGAACCAAAAAGAACAGTTTGTGTAAATTAGTAATAACACCTGCCAGTGGGACTCTTCATTTGAACAGTGCCTAAAGATTCAGTTCTGCTTTGACTTGCTCTGGTAGAGGAATCAATTATTTCTGTAATTATAAGTGTACTCCTGTTAAGGTACAAATTTGTATTAGAAACTTACTACTTTAGTAGAGATTAGTTTCTTTAATAAGCTAGTTTCAGAGGGACAAGATCCTACTGGAAAAAAAAAAGGAAGCTGAAGCTTCTGGGTTTGATGCTGTTCTGAGATCACCACACTTGAAGGATGGGAAAGCACACCTGGATAAGCTGCCACAGTAGGCCTGGGACCCCATGGACGCGGAAGGGAGGAAGCACTGAAAAGGCAGGAGAACGAGAGCAGGAGCCAAGCTTTGCTTTCTTCACAGTTTGGCTTGGGTCTCCATCTTGATTTTTAAAGGTTAATTTGAAGTCTCAACTTTGTCATCTATAAAATGTAGTAAACTCGGGTACTATACCCACCACACAAGATTGATTAGAAAATCAACTGTCACAGTAGGACCCTTTCAGTCCTTTGGCTTGCCCCCCACCTCCACCCCGGGCCCAGGACTCTGTACCCATATAGGGCACTGAGGCATGTTCCTTGAATCTAACCTCAGCTGCAGATAGCAGTTCATAGGCCTTGTTATGTTGTTGATGACAACAGGGGAAAGAAATATTCTATAATTCACAGTTGAAATTTCACTGAAATTCCTAGTGGGGTGATTTTCTCTGTTCAAACATTGAACATTTATTAAGTGCTAGTCAGTGACTGTTCAGTGGTGAGTGAAGTAGGCATGCTCACATTATTACAGAGCTTCCAGTCTAGTGGGGAAGTTAGTAAAAAAATGAATAAATGATTATAAGACAAGAAATGTTGGGAAATAAATAAACAGGCAACTATAATTAAAAAAGAAGTAGGAGGGGACCTACTTAAATGAATTAACATCTAAGTTGATGTCTGATAGATGAGATAGAGGAGCCATTTACAGAGTGGGGGTGGGAGAAGCATTTGAGGCAGAGGGAACAGTGTATGCAGAGGCCCTAAGATAGGAAGAGGAAGAGCTTTGTGTGATGAAGGATCTGAAAGAAAGCCAGTCGGACTAGAAGAGAGAGAAAGAGAGGGAGAGGGGAGGAGATGAGGTTGGAACGTTAAGCAGGGCCTGATCATTCAGGGCCTTACAGACCAAGGTAAGGTGTTTCACATTTATTGTACGTGCAGTGGGAGGTCCTGGAAGACTTTTAAGAGATGTGACATATAACTGTTTACATTTTTTTAAATTAATTTTTTTATTTTGGTGTCATTAATCTACAATTACATGAAGAACATTATGTTTACTAGGCTCCCCCCTTCACCAAGTCCCCGCCACATACCCCTTCACAGTCACTGTCCATCTGCGTAGTAAGATGCTATAAAATCAATACTTGTCTGCTCTGTGTTGCACAGCCCTCCCCATGCCCCCCCACCGACTATACATGTTAATCGTAATGCCTCCTTTCTTTTTCCCCACCCTTGTCCCTCCCTTCCCACCCATCCTGCCCAGTCCCTTTCCCTTTGGTAACTATTAGTCCATTCGTGGGTTCTGTGATTCTGCTGCTGTTTTGTTCCTTCAGTTTTCCTTTGTTCTTATACTCCACATATGAGTGAAATTATTTGGTACTTGTCTTTCTCTGCCTGGCTTATTTCACTGAGCATTAATACCCTCTAGCTCCATCCGTGTTGTTGAGAATGGTAGGATCTGTTTTTTTCTTATGGCTGAGTAATATTCCATGGTATTATATATGTACCACATCTTTATCCATTCATCTACTGATGGACGTTTAGGTTGCTTCCATATTTTAGCTATTGTAAATAGTGCAGCGATAAACATAGGGGTGCATCTGTCATTTTCAAACTGGAGGGCTGCATTCTTAGGGTAAATTCCTAGAAGTGGAATTCCTGGGTCAAATGGTACTGTTTACATTTTTACAAAATGACTGTGATGGCTTTGTGGAGAATGATTGAAGGGCTTGACAAAGCAGAAGTAAGGAAAACGGTTTGCAGGGCACTGGAGTAGTTCAGAAGCCAGAGGGGTGGCTTGGGCCTAGAGTCCAGGGGATACATGGGTACGGGCAAGAAGTGGATCAATTTCTCTAGAATTGATAGAAATCACTGTTAGATTGGGTGTGTGGTAAAGGAAGAGGAAGAAATCAAGAAAACTTGTTACTAGGTCTCTGGTTTGCATGGAAGGTAATGCCATTTACTAAATTGTGGATAACTTGGGGAGAAATAGGTTTAGAGGCTGAGTGGGGATCAAGGTTTCAGTTTTGAACATGGTAAATTTGAGGTGCCTGTGAAATTACCAAGTGGAAATGTGTAGGAAGCAGCTGGGCCTATGAAACTAGTCCTGTGGGGTCTGGGCTGGAGATTTCTATCCTGGAGTTTTCAGCATTTTTAAAACAATGGGCATGGATGAAGTCACTTCCATGTGAAGGGAGAGAGTACAGAGAAAGAAGAGAAGGGGCCTAGTATAGAACTCTTAAAAACTTTAACATGTAGGTGGAGAAAAAGGGGCAAAAGAGATTAAGGACCAGCTACAGTGGTAAAAGGGTTTTCACAAGAGTGTGAAAGTTCCCCATTCACTGATTTTAATGATGAGGGAAAAGGTCAGATGCTGCTTAGAGAAGGGACATTTCATCCCTGAAGCAGGAGGGAAGGAGAAAAGCAGACAGTTTTGTAGATGGGAAGAGGGAACTTCCTCTGATGGTTTATGTTTTCTTAAAGAAATAAGAGATATCTCCCAAGGGCAGTGGTGGGATGATGGTGGGAGCAGGTAGATGAGCAAGGGAAAGGTAAGCAGTATTGCTTGGGGAGTGTGAGGGCCAGAGGGGTTCCAGAGGAATAAGCGGTGGTGGGGTTGTGGGGTTGTCATACAGAACAAGAATCCATTAGAGATTATTCAGTTAATTTAGTATTAATATTCATAAAATACTCTCTTTTCTTTTTAAATTGCATTTTAATTATGGAAGTAATACATGAACACATTCTCTTTTTAAAATTTCAAATGTTACAAATAAGGCTTAGGCCCTTTTAACACCTCCCCCAAAAAAGAAAATCTGAGTCCCTGTTCCCTCCCTATTGGTAGCCACTGTTTTGAAACATACGTATTATTCTTGACTTTTCCCTATCTCTTGTGGGTATATTTTAATATATGGTAACATTTTATATATACATACTGTTTTGAAACTTGCTTTTTTCTCCTATTATTTATTGGGGGTTTACCCATGTTAGTACATGTAGATCTGCCTCATTTGTTACAAAAAAATGTTTAATAAAAATTCCAGAATTGCAGATGATATGATACCAGGTAGACTATAACACAAATAATTATGAGTGGTGATTTCTAACGAAGCATCATGTGCTGGAAGGATCTAAATGGGTCAAACCAGTCTGGGGAAGATTATCCTCTAATCTAATGGCTGCACGTGCAACATTCTACAAAAAGCTGGACAATTAAAGGGAAAGGGTGCTATTTTAGTATTTTGGGAAATAATATCTTGGCCTGGGTTATTTGACCTACTAAATGTTTTCTTCTCTGTGGGGACAATGAAGATGATGTTAGAATTGAAGTCACTTATTAACCCTATTTATCTGTTTTAGGTAGAATACTGTGAGATTAGTTTATCTGAAAAGTTCAGGCCAGTGTTAACATTATTAACCAGAAATGGAATGGATCCTTGCAAACATCAGTGCCTAAGGATCATTTATGAGATCTGCCACATCTCTTGAGGCTACTCATCCTTCTTTATCTTTTTCAAACAGTTTTTCCATCC